ATCTTGACTAATTCAATTATTTTATCATGGTTTACCATCAATATTGACTAACTCAATTATTTCATCAGAATTTATCGTGAATCTTGATTAACTCAATAATTTTATCATAATTTACCGTCAATCTTGACTAATTCAATTATTTTATCAGAAATTTTTGTCAATCTTGACTAATTCAATTATTTTATCAAAGTTTATTGTCAATCTTGACTGAATCAATTATTTTATAAAAATTTATCGTCAATCTTGACTAATACAATCATTTTATCAACATTTACTATCAATCTTGACTAGTTCAATCATGAAAAATTATCATCAATTTTGATTAGTTTAATCATGAAAATTTACCATCAATATTGACTAGTTCAATCATAAGAGTTTACCATCAATCTTGATTAGTTCAATCATGAGAGTTTACCGTCAATCTTGACTAATTCAATCATAAAAATTTATCTTCAATCTTGACTGATTCAATCATAAGAGTTTACCATCAATCTTGATTATTTCAATCATGAGATTTTACCGTCAATCTTGACTAGTTCAATCATGAGATTTTACCGTCAATCTTGACTAGTTCAATCATGAGAGTTTAAAGTCAATTTTGATTAGTTCAATCATCAAAGTTTATCGTCAATTCTGACTAGCTCAACCATTTTATCATACGCTGCTTTATTGATAAAAATACTTGATATTGTTATGCCCTACTCTACTGTACATGTACTGGTTCCAATCAAATGTAGATTATTTTGGCTATCACAATGAAGATTGACCACGTCTTGTGTCAATTTTCATCTCCATGATAAGCTTGTTGGCTACATCAAAAAACATGTGTTCCACTTCGGAACTCCACAAGTATTGATGCTATCTTGATCATTAATCACATAAATATCAAACTTCTCTACAATTATATCCGTGAGCGATGATATTTCCTTATCAATACGGAGAAGCTGAAACTCTCCGCATCTTTCAATTATCTTGGCTCATTTAAAGAAATATTTCTATTGACAAGAATCTTACATGCTACTAAATTTCATAGCTTGTAAATCTGCACACCACAAGCATTTTCAAGAATGACACTTCTGGGATGTAGTATGTCTGGAGTTATCTCATACTCTTGCATCATAGATCCTCATTCAAATGATCATATTCTTTGAGATCAAAGTTCTCTACATCATTCATCAATACTGAGAAAACAACGTCTACACAACAATCTTTCTTGATGTGACCACTTTGCCACATTTCCAACAAGACACTATATTTCTTTCATAGGACTTAATACTAGATTCGGATCTCTTACTCTCATCTCTAGATTGGGATCTCTTCCTCTCAAGGATCTTAGATCTCTTCGTTTGGGATCCATCATTTTGCAAGCGGAGTTTGCAACATTTGTCAATGAAATAGTAACTGCTTCTTTGACCTTTACCTTACAATCTTTCTAATGTGGTCATCCTTACCACATCTCCAACAAGAAATTCACCGCTGGATCGAGATCTCTTTCTTTTTTTTGCTGTCACAACCATGTTTTATTTCCTAGCAAATGATAGTTTGGATAAAGATCTCTTGAATTCTTCTTCCAGTGTACGTTCTTTTGAAATCGTCCGACACACGCACTTTTTAGCTAGTCGTGAAGAAAGACTTGATTAAGATAGTCAACACATTGGCTGCACTGTCAAAGTACTGTCTTTTGAAAAGTAACACAACTTTTAGCACTCATTCTCGACAATCTCTCCGACTCTTGAATAGGTCTCCAAGTTCCTTTTGAAATCCATCTTCACATTCAAAATAGCACTTCATCACACTCCCAAATTCATGAAATTAGGTAAAAAAAGCTTGTTCTTTCCGAAGCTTGATCGACGACATGTCTGTGTACCAAAATAACCCATTACCGACGATAATGTATGAATTCTATCCCTCTCTTGAGCATGTTTCACATTTGAGCTCAACTTCTCAAACAAATTTTTTTTCCCGATACAACTTTAAATCGGAACTTCTGTCAACAACTCAAATTTGCATCCACCTCAAACTTCTACAGCTCAACCGCAGCTTCAATTTTTGGAAAAGCTCTAAACACATCGAACTCAACTCGAGCATCACCGTCAAAAAACCTTTCAGCGACAGAAAACCTATCATCGTCGTTTGACTTCAACAGACCTGCAACACACAATGTCACAAAAAACGCAACGCTTTGATATCATTTGTCAATCTGAAATATGCAAGACATTGAAAGCTAGATAGTCAGATAAACAAACACGAATATACGCAGTCGCAATGTGATTCATCCCTTGGAGGGCTATGTCCACAGGGAAAGAACTTGAGAAAGTTCATTATTGTAGTGAAAAAATATCAATGATACAGTGAAAAAGACTTGGGGTATATATCTCCAACACCGACAACCAATCTAACTATAAATAGTTAGAATCTGAGGTTACTATTTAACTGAAATTAACCTAAACAATACTAAAGTATCTTCAATATAACATATGAGTATAAATTGATTATTTGTTATCTCAATTTGTTAATCATGAGTAATAACATATTTAAATCTGGCATATCTTATAAAAATCCGAAATTAAAATTATAAATGATGTAAATTAGTAAATATTATGCTCAAATTGTAATATAAAAACTTTAACAAAAATGAAAATTTTTAATCTAATTTAAGACTTAAAAATTTAAAAATTTTCAATATTAGGCTTAACACTAACTAACTAACTCTCTCTCTCTATATATATATATTTTTTATATATATATATATATATATATACATCTATATCAACATAATCATATTTGAAGATTGGATTTTCTGAAACAATATAAAATTTGTAAAAAAAGTTTATTTATTTTACGTTAAATTAACATTATATATATTTTGTTTGCATTATAAAACTATATCTACAAATGACGTATGTTTCAGAAATATTTAGTTCAATATTTTTCATTCTGTACTTTTATTCATTGAATTAAAATTTTTTAAGCATAATATAATCGAAGAAATATCTATCAAATTATTTTTTTAAAATTTCCACATAAAATAATTAAATTTTTAACCTAAAGAATTTGACCTAAAAGCAAACATACACGAAAGTACTCAAAGGCCTCGGTGAAACCTAATTCTAGACCTTGCCATCAAAATTTAGTAAATTTTGTTGTTATTGAATCCAGATTATCTGTTGATGTTGTTATAGGCATAATTTATTAAATATTTTATGATGAAAAGTTACTTTTATGACTTGAAGATAAAATAGAGTCAACATCTGTATTATAACATGATCATTCAATGAAGCTAGAACATAGGAGGTTGAAACATCTACGTAAATAAAGAATAATTTCCTTGAAAATTCAATGAATAATGTGAACTTGTTAAAAAAATTGAAATCATGTGCTTCATATATTAATGAAAATTTTACACAACATATCATCTTCTAGAAAACCATCACATAGAATAAAAGACATATATTCATTAAAATATGTTGCTTTTGTCTTTTCAATTCTCTAATTCTTAAACATAGTGAAAAGTATTGTTCTTATCTAGAAAAAAGAGATTCAAATAGCATCATTTTTCTTCTCTATTAACCTCTATACTATCTTCAAATACCAATTTGATGTGATTCATATGAAGTTGCATGCTAAATATATATATCATCTATGATGTTGTTTATTTTCTTTTCTCTTTTTAGAATCATATCATCATTGTAAATTCTTCTTATGCAATTTTGCACTATTATTCTTCTAGAAGCTTTACTATATATTTTTGTAACACTAAGTATCAAGAGAGAAGTTCACTTAAAGTTAGAACACAAATTTGAAAATAAAAGATACATTGAATTGTTCTCATCTATCTTATATAGATCATATCAACAAGTTCAAGGAGTTTAATTCTCATCACCATCGTCCATTCTACCACTAATGGATTGATAACATGAGGAATAATCTTATCAAGCACATCTATTATTGACGTGAAATTCTCCATAGGTGATGTTTTGTCTTCCCTCTTAAACCCTGACTAACTTGTTACTGTTATAACCTCAATCACTTGCTCTTCAATAGAGCATCAAGTGAGAGAGCTGAAGATATACAAACTTCTCTAGTAGACTACTCAAACAAATCTGCAAACTTAAAATGAATTTGAATAACGGTGAATGAGTGAGTTAATAAGCACCGAATCTAAAAAAACAGAAATTTAACTTGGCCATGAGTGAAATCAAATTTCCAACATCTTCATCTCATAGCTTCAGAACTCTTATGTACGTTAATTAGGAAACCAATCTTCCTGACATCTTTTGACCTGGCCCAGATGTCCAAAGCTTATGAGATTGTGACATCATGTGCTTGTTGGCCTGACGTTATGTATTTCTCCATAGTTTCGAATATCATGTGATGTAGCGGAAATATTTTTTTAATGTGCTCAAGTTTTAGTAACATTACCTAGTAACCGTAGAGATGTATAACTTCCTCAACCTCAATTGTCCATTTTATGTCAATCAAAGCGCTGATTTTCATTATTTTGTCAGACTCACGAGCTCATTCTGTTTGAAGAACCCTTTGATATTCTAAATATTAGTTTACTAGAATGACTAAATTGATACTCATGACATGTCACTTTTTAATGATACAGTTGACTCTGACCCTCAAGTGCATTATGAGTAACACTATAAAAGTCCATACTCTAGATGTCACTCCACACACTCGAATTGATCTCAATTGAAGATTAAGTGATAATTTTAACCTCACTCCCACTTCTCAACATTACATCAGTGGAAAATGGGATGTAATTGCGGAAATCATAATTGGCAAGGCTTGTACTTTAGCCCATGTTCTAGCAATAGCAATAATTTTTAATTTATTTCCTCATTTCCCTATTATAGTTCATGTCTCAACACTAACGTTATTTCACCAAACATAATATTAAGCTGGTTAATGGTTGCCCTTAAGTAAATTAGTAGTTACCTTGTGAATAGTTATAAATAGCTGCATTGAAACAAATCAAGGAGAACTCTACCTTCTCCGGGGTGAGCCAGTATCAAAGTTACAGTACTTGCTTTCCTTCCTCCACATCTCCCTCTTCCTCCTCTCATCTTTGAGAAGACAAAATCCGTCGAAATAGCGACTTGGATCAAGATTTCAACAAGAAATGTGAAGGTCGAGTGAATGCTGTGAGCTTTCCAGCCTCAGAATGTTCAGGAAGTAAGCTGTTAAAGCCTGTCTATCAGACCCAGTATCATTTAATATTGCAGGTGCGTGACACGCACCGATGCCAATTTTGCTGTATCAGAGCATGCAAATCTGGAGTCCCAATATAGCTGCAGCAATCGGCGCTGGTGGAGGCATTGGCTGGCAAAGGCAGCTCGCGTCCATCGTCTTCAGCTGCGAGGATGGACAGTCTCTGTGTGGATGAGCGCTCTCGCTGTGGCCTATATATAGCTCAAAGTGTATGTTTGTCACTGTTTTGGACGAAACTGCTGATTCATCTCAACTCCCTTCTCATCGTGAACCCCCCTCTCTTGAGAGAAGACACAACGAAGTCAGAAGCACTGCTGCACGTGCCCTTGACTGGGCTGAAAGATTTGCTACATGGATGAAAAAGGTTGTTATTGACTGTTGCACTCTACTGTGGTCTTGAGGGTGACGTCTTCGTGTCCTGTTGTCAGCTTGAGGCAGCCGAGACGATAAGGAAGTGCTATATACGATGGTGCAATGAAACCAGACTCGAATCATTACTTTGAACTGGAACTTATTCTTGAATGCTCCCTTTTAGATTGTACGACTCACACGAAGTCGGGTCCGCAGCATATCCTGCAAAGTCTTCATACGTGACGGGTTTCTAGAAATCGTCCGTCACATTTGTATCGACTTTGGTCTCTCTTTGTAAAAATCCTCGTACTCGTTCGTTTCGATTTGTTTTGTTGGCTCGTAAGGATTTTGTTCGACAGTGCCAGGCGTTTTGAGGAAACGGATTCTGCTTTAGCAGACAACTGGACGAGAAGAAGAAGTAACACGCGCCAAGATGTGGAGACTCATGTGGGTCTTACTGCTCCTGGCTTCTCCGATCTCAGGAACGGCTACCACAGACCATTCGAGCTCAGAGGTAGGCAACACAGTGAAGGAACATGAAGACGTGCTGAGATGCTCATCATGAATTTCACGTATACAGATACAGGTATAGCCTGTCAAATATTAATACAGCACTCCGCTGACGGAGGTTACGATCGACTTGAAAAAGATTACGGAGGCCCCGAGATTCGAGCTGAAATAAGATTTCGCTAGGAGCAGATTTGATTTTAATTTCAGCTTTGAAAACAGGTGATGGCGTGGAGGTTCCGCTAGATTTGTTCTGTATCAACGCGAACGTTACCGATGAAATGGTGTGCACATCTGAACTGCCTCGATCTGTGGCACTTGTAGGATGGAGGACACAGGTCGAAGGCACATTTCGTTCTTGTACACGGTGCAGGGCATGGAGCATGGGCGTGGTTCGAAGTCGCCACAATGTTGGAGAAAGCCGGCTACACAGCCACTGCATTAGACTGCACGGGAGGCGGCATCAGCGAGACGAGCCCTGACGACGTCACCAGCGTAGCGGATTATTCAAAGCCCGTAGTTGATTATCTCAGCAATGTCACCGAACAGGTACTTTATGACCTCTCCCTTCCTGAGACCTCACCTCAACGCTTCTGTTTGTTTATGCACTCGAAAATTGACCAGCAACGCGTTTTCATTCTTTGGGTTCACGTCGGTAGACATGGGACTGGTGTGTACTGCCGCCAAACATAATCTAAAGTCTGAAATAACACGCGTTGAGTCGTCAGTATGAAATAGACCTCAGCTCTGGAAAGCTGAAGAGCAGTTGTCCACATTTATTTTACGAAGTTTTGTGCATCGCTAAACCCATCTGACACACGTAGTATCATGAACTGGAAAATCCGGTGAAGCGCTGAATTCTCGGTACTGTGGGTTTCGGTCTGATCTGATTAAATATTCGGTACATAAACGGACCACATGAATATATTGCTTAACATGTCAAGTTTTCTAAGTCTCAGTACACACGATGAAGCTGAGTCAAATCCACGTACAAGCCTAATGGGTTTCGTAATACGGCACGAAACATTGGTCCAGTTGTGAACACCGTTGCCTCGTTCGTCCTCAGTCCGCTAGCAGCTGTGCCAGATTAATTTCTCTTTCAGATTCATGGCACGTTGTAGGTGCGTGGCATAGGGATGATTTCATTGGCATCCGTCTCGAACATGGAAAGGGAGGGGTTAGTACACATCCTAGAAATCTGAAAAATCGAACTGTACAGAGAGAAGTAATGGCCCGTTATTAGTTCGTGAGAATGATGACGATGTGCATGGATAGGTAGACAACGAGCACATGCGACACTGTGACAGTTCCCAAGGACACAGTGTGCGACGTAGTCGGAATCTAACTAATCACGTCTTTTGGGCAGGTAATTCTGGTTGGTCACAGCTCGGGAGGCAACCCTGTTTCATTCGCTATGGAAGCGCATCCTGAGAAAGTGAAGAAAGCAGTCTTCCTCACTGCTCTCATGCAAGTCACTGGATCCGATATCCTGGACCCCAACTCTACGTACAGCGTACGTATCTGCTTCCAACTCAGACATCTTTTGGAATAGCTAGCTCTGAAGATTTCCAACGTGAGCATGTGCTGTGCGATGCACGAACTGGCGAGCATGGCTTCAGCACTTAGTCAGAGGTTTGAAGCAGAGGAAACTGACGAAGCCTTGTGGTGGTTTGTCCAGAAATTGCTAGCGGGAGCAAGTGGTACCCCCGTCTTCGGGAATGGACCAGACGCTCAACCAACATCTGTTGCCGTGAACACCTCAACTGCTGCGCTTAGACTCTTTTACAACCAAAGCCCACCACAGGTGCCTCCATCTTCTCCTCGTGTGGGCTCTTCAGGTTTTCTGGTTGTGTCACACAGCAGCATGAAAGAGCAGCACTTGTTGATTTTGCTGTATTTCTCTGGACGTGGAATGTATGTGGTTAGCTCTTGATTCACTGGACGCTTTGTCGTTGCGACAGGTCTACGCGTTGGGTAGAGCTTTGTTGAGGGCAACGCCATACCAATCGTTGTTCGGAACATTCAATCTCACTTCCGCTAGATATGGAAGTGTTCGTAGATTCTTCATCAGAACAGGTGAAGACCTCAGTCTGCCTCCAGCAGCTCAGCAACTAATTATTGACAGCAACCCACCGGAACAGGTCTTCACCATCGAAGGGAGCGATCATGCAACTTTTTTCAGTCGTCCTCGCGAACTCGTCCGCATTCTCAAGAAAATAGCAAAGCTCTAAGTCTTCCTCTGAAGCCACCAACATTACTCCAAAGTTTGTTCCCCATATGACCTCTAGTTCATAGAAGATGAATTCGAGGCAACAATACCTGTGGGAATAGGTTGATCAAAGGTCATTTGACGTCTGATTAAATACAAGAAACACACACGATGTTACACTGTTTGTGAAATCATGAGATATGGTTTTGAAATACGGTAATAGCAAGCTCCCAACAAGGGGAATCTGAGAACTCGATCATAGGTTTCGTAGTCCGCAGATCGAAGGTTGCATGAATGCAAACGAAATATGAACTACTCTCAGCTTTTTGCAAAGTATTGAGACTCAAACCTGAACATGTGAAGAGACCGGTTTAATACAATATACAAATCGCTTGCCAAAGACTCGAAGGACAAATGTGAATGTGAAATCCATCTCACTCAGACGTAAGAAAAAATCTGGCTCTCATGGAACGTGTACGGAAAGATGCGCAGATGGGATACCATTCAGTGTGAATGTCGTCGAAGTTTTATCGCATCATTGAGGTTAAGTACGCAGGATACAGTGTGGTAGAAAAGAGACAGTTTGCAAAACAGAATGACCGCTGCATGCGAATTTGACGCTGAGGCAAGAGGATGGTAATCTGCAGTCTCGGCTTTACAGTAGACGGTACACATAACACAAGCTCGCTCGGTTAAATCAGTTCCGGGCTTCGCGTGCACCAACTCTGTAGTGTTGGGACAGGAGTCTCCGACAGGATCTTTGATTGAGCTGAGTGACATGCGGTGCCGGAGCACCCGGTCAGTTGCAGAATACATGGTCTCTGTCCAGAAGATGCTGCTGAGAATCCTCTGCCAATATCAAACTTTGCACTGGATTCTTGTAACAGCCTTCAACTGAGTGATGACGCCTCTCAAAACATCGTCAGTCAGCACGGACAATATTTCAAGTCTCAAATCTCTCAGAGATTAGGAGAAACGTTCCCGGGGTACTATTTTCATGTGAATATCCCGCTTTTCGAATGCCCTCGGCGGAGCGATTGTCGCAACCTCCTTCTGCCACTGATTGTACCTGATCATGGGAAGAGTCAATCCCGTTGAAGAGGTCAACCATGTCAAGAGGAGAGGCCAATCATCGAGTCGTGGTTCTTTGACCCACATGATGAGCACTTACAACCAGCACGGAGCCGATAATTTAGGGATCTGGCTGACGAATGCCAAGGTTTGTGTTCGTGCAATCTGCAAGTTGGTTCTTCGCTGCTGCTTGAGTTCTGGGCCGTCGCTCTCTCTAGAGTAGTGAGCTAATTTTGAAGTCAGTTCCTGAGCTTCGCGGCCCATTGATTGCAGACGAGAGATACTCATTCTGTTACTTATAGAAGCTCCAATAATTCTGGATGTAGTCACTGGTCTCAGCTAAGTTGGTCCGACACTCAGTGTCATGATCGATGCCGTGTGCAAGTGATTCTTGGGCTCCTGCTCTCAACTCAACCAAATGTGAATGTCAGTAGTTTCCTAATATTTGGCATCTAGAAGCATCTAATTGAGTCCAAGAATCGATATCAGGAAGCAGCCGCAAAAATTCGTGAAGCAACGAACAGGAAGAGGCAAGAAAAGAAAGAAAAGTACGTTCAATTTGTGAAGGACATGCACCAGCGATTGGCGGAGTCCTCGAAAAAGATGAGGGTTGCGTCAGGACGAATCCCACCCGCAAAGACATCTTATACGGTTCAGGCTGCGAGGAATCGAATCAAGATACCGAGGCTCAATGTCGCTGAGGACACGGAGGATATGCTGAAGCAAGTTTGTGTGCTCTTCTTACTCCAGTTTCCAACTTGTCTAAACAATGAAGTACGATGTCTCTAGCTTCTTAGCCATGGTCCGAGCCCTAAAATCACCACAATGAGTTCTACCTTCAGGTATCACCATTCAAAATGTTGACATGTAATACTTTTGATGGCCGCTCTCTTCATACGTTCTTTCGGGATCTGATCGCTGCTCAGCCTCCCTAATCAGCAGGCCTCGAGGATGGAGGATGTCAGGAGCTTCCTTGAGAGCCAACTTCGGAAGAAAACAAAAACTTCTTCAACAACGACAAGGCTCCGAGATGTGAAGTACAGAGAATGTATGATACATGCAACGAAAACCCAGAATGAAGAACCGCCGTTGCAGCGCGCAGTGAAAAGGTCATGGGACAGGCCTTCTGCTACCATGGACAATGAGGAATTAGGACTGTCACCAATTGTGAAACCCTTCCTAGTTATGCTTCCTACAACACCCGTCGCCCAGGTGCTCCACCCTTCTCAAATTCAGAATGATTGTGGTTTCTGCACCACTTCTGCCATGCAAAGCATGAAAAATTGCAGAATCTGGACTAGAGGCAACCAGCCAAATTCTTAAGTTTTACGGCTTTTGAGAGTATCTATGCTGGAAATGTTGCTCTAAAACGTGGATGTTCTGTGATGTAAACACAGAAGCCTGAGCTGGTGAAGTCTGAACCGTGTACTCCTCGGGCTTTGGACGGTTGGAACATACCCACATCGTTTTCTGCACTGGACATGAGATGTGTAGAAGAGTTTCTTGACACTGCATTGGAAGCATCTCCAAAACCAGAACCAGAACCAGCACTGCTCAACTCCAAAGGTCCCCCGCTGGACTTACCAACACACAACGACCACCCTGATGTTCAGAAACCGGAAACCTTGGCCCAGAAACTCTCTGCAGAAAGGAAGTTGCAAACGAATGCCAGATTGTTACGCCGTGCAGTTTCGTCAGATCCAAGTACGAAAGGCTGTGAGCGTCTTAGGTCGAAGAGTAACGCAGAAAATGAAAGTCTTGATAAAAGAGTTCGGTCTCAAAACTGCAATGGTACGATGTCATTAGTACCATCACCGACCGCTAGTAATCTGAATAGGAGTGATGCTGAATGTACACAACACTCGTCTGACGATCTTGTTCACTGCCCAAGACTTCGTATAGAAGATGGAGTCACGACATGCTCCATGGGTGTTGTTGTTTTGAGAGGCCGTCACGAGTATGAAGTTCGAGGACAGGTACTTGGATCCTACTTGCTCTTCCCATCTGCGATTTCATTTTCGCGTCGTTGGCTGCTGAGGCCATGGATTAAAAAATCTCTGAAAACGCTCTCTCGCTCGATATTGTTACCTTGTGTGTGTGTGTGTGTGTGTTTGTTTCTCTCTCTCGTGTGTGTATGCGCGGGGACTTTTGTGCAAAGGGTTGGAAACATCGAGGATTAAGCCTCAAGCTGGGCCATGATGCTGGTTTGCTGGTTTGCTGGTTTGCTGGTTTTGTGACGTGTGCTTGTTGATTCTGATTGGCATGACTATTACTAAAGTTGGGTCTAAGTGCAGAATGCTCTCATAAATACGAACCTTTGAAGTCATTGTTAAATTGGCAGGTTCTTTTCCAGATACACAATGTCCTCCGCACCATAGGAAACTGTTATTGCATCACGCTTAACATCACTGGTTCAATCACTTGAGTGACTCGAGGGATCATTGTGAAGTATGATACTGTACTATGCAAGCTATTACAAATTCATCTCCATTTTTACACTGGTTGGTTCAAACTATCCACATCGTAATAAACCTGTTAGTTGTTCCATCTACTAAGCTTCGGCCTTTACTGGTGGTATCTGACGGAGGCCGTCGCCATCTTCGGAAAATTTACAGGCACAGCAGTACTTTTCAGATGTATGGAAATGTGCTATGCTTGCGGAAAGACGATGTGCCAGTGAACGGGCGCACTTGTTGTTTGAAGCGAAGAAGAAAAGGTACGGCACAGTTTATTGTGAACGTATTACCTTCATGACTTGTATTAAAATGACTTTCTATTGCGCGCTCGCAGGTCATAAGAAGATCCATAAACTATGAAACTATAAATCGTGAGTATATTATTACATTCAACAACGCTCCACATACAATAGTGTATATACAAGTACATACAAAGTGTGGTATCAGAATAATACATGTGCCAGTAATAATCACCTTCCTTTGAAGATTGGAGCAGCTCCAGATTGAGAAGCAGCAAAGCTCAATTTTACTAAGGCAAAGGGCTTTACAGAAGCAGCGAATTGCGGTGCAGACCCATCTAGAGTTAGTGGCAGAGTTGGTGAGAACATTGTCCTTCAGCTCAGATAAAGAGTATAATGTCGATATCGTAACGCCTCCGTACATTCCAGAGTGTATCGAAAGCTTTGGCCAAATGTCTTTGAAAAAGAGCAAATAGAGCAAAAATTTGTCATGTGAATTATTTATTCGTGCATTTTTTCTAGAAATTTCTTTTAAGCTTGTGGCGATTGATCTTGGTTTGTCTGCAGAAAGCAAGGAGAGAGGGTGTCATCATGCGTAACAGAGTTCTTGAGAAAAAAAGGTAATTCGTTCGAGTCTACGCAATTCACCTCACAAGCAACATAGGCTAGATTTGTTGACCAGATCAGATGCTGATGTATTTAAGTTGTAAACGTTCGACACTTGACGGTTACTAAAAGTCACCTTGCGCAAACTTACGCCAGCATTGGAACACAGAATTTCATTCGGTATTTATTTGAAACTTCTAAACATCTGCCAGGTGCATTGTGTATACAGGTTTGCAAATGCTCTACGAGCTATAAGAGTAGAAAAATTGCAAGGATATGGCTTGCAAATTCCGCCATTATGTGACTGCAATCATGGAGAAGACCCTATGAATTTTCAATATATAAAAAAATGTCACCGTGATTGTAGATTGCACAACAATTTTGCAGACTACACTCTCCAACTAGAAAGTACTTTGCAACATCTCCTGGACGAATTAACTTACGGGTTAAGAACACAGAATAAATAGAAAAGTAACAATCAGGCACAGGTAGACTTGTAACTGGGCTACTGCATAAGTCATACCTATACTGCCTCGCACAAACTTCATGTGAGCATCAGAGACAAATCTCCGTGTGAAGTTCATGTATGAAAATGGTTGTATTACTGTACAAATTTCGATCCTAATGTAATTTACAACTCCCCGGTCCTAAGTTCTGGTGGAAGGCTCATGTGAGGATTTGAACCCATGCACCAATTCCCCAAGTCTTCGAGTAAAATCCCTATCACTTTGAAGGACCTCAAAACATACTCCAAAACTCCAGGGTTCTTATACTTACCAAACCGCCAGTCTTTATCTGCAATCTTGCGCGTTGCAGGTACATCAAGGCTCTCTGGAATAAGCATGAAACCCCGCGTAAGTACACCGTGATATATTCCTCTTTCGCTTGTGTTAAATATCTTACCTAACCAAACTACGGAAGAAGCAACTTACCAGCCCACATACGACCATGAGAATCTGAAACTCTGCAGAAAGGCCTGATTCCACCTTGTCTCATATCAGATTGTAAAGTATTCCACTCCTCTTTCCTTTGTTGATCAAGGATCAAGCCAGATCGAACCACCTAAACATCACAACCCCAAGTCTCAGATTTATGGTTAGAGGTTATTTTTAATGTATGTCGAAAAGTTCAAACTTCGCCAGTACTCTAATTTGTCCTAACTTGCTCTTGTGAAAATTTATCTTGCTGTCTGACAACGTAGAGTGGGTACAAAGGAAAGCAACAACCTTCTGGTACAAGTAGTACGAGGGACGTGGATGACGACTCAAGTTATCCCATCGGTCGCTATCCACAAGTCCAAACTTTGGACAGTAACCATCAGCCCATTCCCAGTTATCTGTAATGGTCCACTGCACATAACCATCTACTGGTACGCCCTGTTCAAGAGTGCAACATAAAGGAAATCAACACAAAAGAAACTTTACATTCTATTATGGCATAAGAATGAGGGCTAAAATGAATTTTGACGAAGGAGGTTCCAAACCTTTTGTATAGCCGCGTTCACAGCCAGAAGATGCTCCAACAAGTAAGGTCGGCGCACAATATCACGGGCATCTGCAAAGCCATTCTCAGTGACAATGTAGCGTAGACTTGGTCGAGCTCTCCTGTAGCGCTTGTGGAAGGTCACAAGAACCTCATACAGGCCATCTGGATACACCCCTCTACCGGCTTCGCTGTACTCTTCCTCGGGCACCAGCATCAATCCAGCACTTGACAAAATTTCCTGATGACAAAAGATGAATATAGTTGAACCTCAATCTCGCTAAGTCTCAAGGTACGATCCATGACAAACGAAGCACACACGACCCTACAAGGAAATATCTTCTCCACGGGAAACAAATTTTGTCTCATTACAGACACTCTTCAAATATAAGAGAAGGACGCAGTTTGGAAGCTACAGGCTTGAACTAGGAATTCCGAGAATTGAAGAACTCTAGTGAATTGCTACCTGTCCATAGTAGTTGATGCCACAGAAATCAAGGTGCTTGTGGATATCATCTATCCACTTAAATTCCGTCAACCACCTCGAAAATACGACAACGGGAATGTCCAAAATTCCGTACGGTTTGATCACTCCAACATGATGGGCAACTCCAACTACTGCTTTCGGGTCCCTGTCATCAACAAGCTGAATTAGACTCCAAACCTGAAGCATCCAAGAAGTTCGAGCTTGAACATGAAAAAAGAACTTGGTACAAATTACTCTTAAACGTAGAGCACGCTTCTGGAAAATGAGGATTGAGGTGTAATTGACAAAGAGGAGAAGCCTCACCCTTCATGAAGAACATTGTATGCAGCTTTGTGTGCCTCACTGATAGCAGCCATGGCCTTACCATAATGGCCATACGGGGTAAAGCAGAGGAGAGATTCCTTCCAAGAAGGTTGTCCACCAGGAGGCCAAGTTCCTGAGCAGTGTGTAAGGAGGACAAATATGTGGGGTTCATTGAATGTTATCCAATAGTCCACGTACTCTCCAAAGTGTTTCTGGGCAAATCTGCATCACGGATGTTTGTAATTTGATATCTGTAACATTTCACCTGCTTGGAAGTTCAACTATCACTACACTGTCTCACAGTAAAATTATGCAACTGGTAACACTTCAGAAATACTCTGAATGATGCTACCTACCTTGTGAACTCTGTGAAGTATCCTACGGTTTTTTCTTGAGTCCAGCCTCCATAAATTAAAGCCCACTTTGGGATCGAATGGTGAAAAAGAGTAAGCATCACTCGCATCCCACGGCTACGAATAGCTTGGAGAATGACTTTGTAGCGTTCCACAGCTTCCATATCAACCTTGAATACAATCAAGTATAGTGTTAAGACTTCACAATACAATCACTGCTTCCCTCGATTAGTAGAATTTTTTTTCGAAAATTCGTGATTGTATCATCCAAATCCGGGACTGATATCTAAATCTGGCGGGCAGGTGCTTGCAAACACGCCTTGTTGAGACCTTTCTAGACCATCGCATTCATCTGATGTGTTCGCTAAACTTAAATTATACCAATCAAACACTTTATATTAGTTTCTAAAGGAAATAGCGTGACAGTCCTCTCAGATGAAAGAGAAAGGTTTGAGCAGTACCGCTTGGTCCATGCCATTATATGGTTCTTCTGTTACGAGGCGACCCCAATCGATGCCCAGTCGAAAGACAGTTATTCCAGTTTCTTTGGCCAGATCCAGTTCGATCTCTGGTTGAGTCCAGAAGCGCAATCGCTCCTCAGGAATGGGAACATTCTGCCAAGCTCGCACCTGTGCTGCATGCCCTTCATATTGAGTCCTCTTTCAATCATAGACAGCATAACCACTTTCTTCTCGAAATTCTACTATAATAATAACCAGTTTTGATATATGTGGAAATACAGGCATACTCATTGTGGTCTCTGTTTAATGACTTGGTGAACAGCCAAGCTGTGAGGCATGTCTATTCATTAGAAAAGAGAGGTATATTGGAATTCAAGTGTCATTGACTATCTGGTAAATCGATGATGCTAATCCAGGAAAAAGATCTCACCGGAAATATCCCATTGTGACCTCTGGCGAACTCCAGCCAAGTGTCATTAAGATTATCTTCTACGTGGGCAGGTGCAGTTGCCAAACCAAAGAAGAACCTCCTTTCAGTGGGTGAGCACAAACCTGTGAACACAAACAAAAATTGCCACTCCATTATTCCATGACGAAATCATGGGAGACTGTTACGATTCGACGTGGCATCTTGGTGGCATCATTTCAGTGACAGAAAATAGCAACATAAAACTAGAAGACAGATACTTCTCCAGACGTAGGAAGAGTTCCATGCTTTCAGAAATGCAACGAACCTGATTTTGAATCAGCCGGACATGTTTGAGGAAAAGAGGAGGAGGAGGAGGCGGAGGCGGAGAAATCGGCCAAAACTTCGTCACCAGCTCCTGCCACCTTCCAATCTCCGGGAGCCGTCTCCAACTTCAAAAAAGGCCACAGCACAAAGCACAAACCAACGTAGCTGACAAGGAGGACTCCCCATGCCGCACAAATCTTCCTCAAGGAAATCGCCATTCTAAACCCTTACAGATCGCCGCGCCTTCGCGCATCAAATGCTCACGTCTGATATTGCAATCGCACTGACATCGACCACCGCCGTCTATCTACCCCGCCCAGCACTCGATTTTGCTCCCGAGTGCTGTGGCGAGACGACACAAGATCGCAAGTCCACGCGGCATGAGCCAAGGGGTCTCGAATACCATCACGCCACGCAGGTAGGGGCCACCAACTCCTTCAGCAGACCGACAATCAGGGCTCTCGTCTCTCCGACAGCATGCTTCTGGATTGATTGATCCCCACCTTCTTGCGCTCTTATTCTGATGATCTGATCACTGAGTCATGGACACATTTGGACGCTATCCACTATCCACTCGGTCGAAGGGCAGCTGCAGACACGCGCTGCCCACTACCGACATTGTTTGGCATCTCATCTCATCTGACCGAAGACCCCTTCCTGCGAAACAAGGGCACTTTTGAAAGCCACTCTGCGTGGCTGCATGATTGCAGTCTACTGCTCCCGCAAGTCCATGCATGGGCCGCAGCTCATTCGAGGCCTCGAGCAGGAAACTCCATTCATCGATCCTACACGAATCACCGTCCCATCGTGACATCCGCTCTTTTCCGTCAAGAGTTTGTATGATGTGTTGTGCTGCGGAATAAGAGCAGAGAGCCATGAGAGCGTGAGGAAATTTTCAAACAAGTGTCGGATCAATCATTCTGATTCGTCCTTGGGTAGCGGAGGAATAGCAGCAAGTGTCCAAGAGATGATGTTTACACACACACTAAAGGATACAGCTGTGACAGTCCTCATTTTCTCTGTGCAAGAATCCTTGCTGCACTTTGCAAGTGTATTGTATTAAACTTTCTTCCGTTCCATATTGAAAAACTTTAACTCGAAGGAGAAATGGAATATAATCCTGTCTACTTGTCGGTTATTTTGAGGGCAATGAAAAATTGGCAAACGTGACATTTTTATCTTCGCTACGATCCTCGCTGCTATCACTATTGTATGCATTCCCTCTTCAATGCAACCCCTGAATGATAACATGGCCTCAATTTCTTCCCTATTTCGTTCAATGATCAGAAGAAATATTAAAACCAGCCAGATATCAATGAACACATTATATTTCCCCATTTTTATAGACTCATCATTGTAATTGGGTTGTTCTTCTGGAATTCCCTGCTATCAAAAGTCGGCTCAACCGTTGAAACTTCCCAAGTGTATTCATCTTCCCATGCTGGGAATCGGAATTATTCAGTTTTGAACCTTTTTCAGATCTCTTCAACTCAAGCGTGGGGAGCAAGACTGCAACTGTCATCTCTTCTTCGAGTCCAGTCAGTGATCAGACAATAACAGAAGCTTGAATGATTGAGACTACCATCAGAAATCGAGGACCCAAAGTCCCGTTGGAACTAGGACCAAGACCCCTTTTTTTTTATGGTACAAATTTCATATCAAATATACTGAATAGTCTCAGTAGGGCCGGAAATGACACCTGCTCTTCGTAGCAGCAAAGAATGATGTAGAAAAATGTTTAACGTACAAGGACCTTTGTCTAATACTCAGCACTACCTAGCTGCTACTGTTTGGTACAACGAGTTTATCCTGGCCGGAAATCATAGTGGCAGATTGAATAATGTCCCCGGTCTTTAGCTGCGATAGAAGCTCTTTCCCCTTCGTTACGTAGCTGCTTGACAGATAGAATTCAAGTTAGAGAAGGAAAAGTTAACTACTCACGCACCATGCATCTTCGAATTACTTCCGACCAGAGCAGCAGAAAGGACGTAGATTTCTTGTATTGCATTACCTTAGATATAGTTGAATTTCAATTGCAGACGAAATTGAGAATCTCACTCGAACACTAAGAGCATAGTCTTTAGTACAAAGCGGTTTGCATATCACCTACTTATCTTGATCAAAGCAATCGGGAAGAAATGAGGATAACAAGAGATCGATAATCACATCAAGCTCGTACTCACCCGAAGACAGAAAATTGACCTTCATCGAAGGCCAGTCCACCTAAACCAGCCTGCAATCAATCCACCATTCAAATACATTCAGTACAACTGAAGTTGCAATACTTTTGAACTCACGCATCCTTCAGTCATAATATATGAGGAAAGCTGAACCAACGTGAGCTGCCTGTAGAAGGAGTGCTTACGTTACGTTTGTCGTACAAATAGAAAAAGAATTGAGATGGAGACGAGTAGTCTTCAGCTGCAGTGTTATGAGCCATTGCTACAGCTCCATAAACCGAAAGAGGCAGCACCGGTATCTCTCCGTCCTTCACAATCAATAAACGGTTATGAGTAACCTCTAACACCTTGAACCGAAAGACGGTAAGAAAATGTATGCATGAAAACCGTCTGATCCCTCAAGGAAGATAAACGTATTCATCCCATTCAAACGGTAGCAATTTTCAGCTTTCATCCGTTCTTTTTTATAAAAAAGAAACATAGTACGTTCGAATGTGGGCAACTAAGTAGTGACACGAAACCATATATGTATTAACTGTGCTTACAAGTAACTAATCACCCGTTCAAAAGATAAGTGTGCTCGAAAGAACGGGTGAAGGATGTTACAAAGGCCACAAACACCCCAGTTACAATCACAATACGACTATACTGTTAAGTATGCTGAGTCAACTTATTACCTGAACATTGAGAGTCGTCTGGTACAAAGGCTGAAATTCCCCGGCAGGTAGAACCTCCAAAGGAAGGGTGTTTCCAACACCATCTCCTTGATCGTCACAGAGGATGGATTGTTCTCCTGTCCTCAATTTAATGCCATTGTACTTACCTTTCAGAACCTGTACACATGAAACAAACATGTCAGATAGGTTGTGAAACCCAGTAGGTAATTGACCTGTGCGTGAGAACATGTACGAAATTGAAGTTTCAAGGGAGCCTCAAATGAATGTGAATCCAACTATGTTTGGATGTATGGGATGCGTTAAGTCCATGACAGGGGCGAGAGCAGATACAAAGGAAGACAGAAGAGTAGAGTTACTAGGCAACTGACCAAGTCTGAAAAATTTCCGGCTGTAAGTGGAGCCGAGTACCCATCTAGAACGATCTGCATAGAATGGTATGGCGCAGGTTTAGTAATCACACACAATTTAATTCTTCCTTCACATGAATTTGCATGATAACACGCATGGTGCATGAATTCCAGACGGGGCCTCGACTTTCGCCTAACCTCAAGTACTGCAGTTTTTTGGGGCCCACCACCAGATGCAACTGTGAACGATGAGCCATCACCCTTCTCCAGTTTCAATGCAATAGTTGCCCTTCCTGTTAGCCTGCACAGTCGTACATGTCAGCGCCTTGGCCAACAGCGGCATCAACACTTTCTACTGACATTTGAACCTGCTGCCATACCTTGCCGTTTTTGGCTTTTTAAAAGAGTTCGTAGATTTCATAACAACAGGGGTGGATTTTATTGCTCTGTGGTTGAAAGCATGAATTCACATGGCATCCCAGTACGTACAAAAAACATATATCTCTCTTGAAAATTGGCAAGATTATCTCAAGCTCTACCTTGGATAGTCTTGATATGTTGCTGGTGGTAAAAATGCTAAACCCGGTGCCTGCAAGCAGCTCAAAGGAGCAGATACTTACATGTCATTAAAAAGTCTAATGGGGTCGACCACTCCTTCGTTGTCAAATAGAAGCAAGAGCTTACCTTAAGAACAACTCGACCAAGTTTCTTCGGAAACTTTGTTTATCAAAGGCACAACATTTCTAAGATATTTACGGGCCGTTCTTCAACTCACATTCCCATTAATTCAAGTTTTGAGTGAAAGGCTAAAATATAATAAGGTAAAGTCCATGTAGCAGAGAAACCCAGAGGTGTCTACTGAAGTATACATTAAGATATATAACAGTTTACACTTTCTGCAAGCACTCTTTCGATTTCAGCAGATAACGTTTTCTGCCGTCTCAAATATCGATGTCTGTTCTCTACTTGATTTTAAAACGAGTAGAAATCTGACCTGAATGATTTCCAACTCAGCAATCTTCTCAAGAGTGTTGGCTAAGCGTATGGAGACCTTGTCTGGATCTTTATTGGCGATAGCCTCCAGCATCTTTTCCAGACCACGCTGCAAATCATACCTTCAATGTGTTAAAAAAATTGGTATACCATCTATCTACTGCTTACGTCAGACGAGAATACTACGAAGAATTTTCACAAGCAGCAAAGGAACAAAACATATGGAGTTCAAAAGCCACATAATTCACCAGCATCTTTGCACGACATTTCCATCAACCCCACCAAAATAGCAATCAAGCAGAATTTACCGGCCCTATTATGTCGTTGTAAAGGTCTAAGCCCTTTTGCTTCATGTCAGCTGGCACAGCAGCTAAAATGGCGTCTTTGTCTTCCAACGCTAGCTGCAGTTGGGTCACGGAAAATTCAGAAGTTTAATCTATGAAATGGGAGTATTGAAACTTATTTGTGATCGACAATTCATCGAGGCTAACAGTCAGAAGAGATGCCAGTATCTCACTTGAAGGGCTCTCTTGACATCACTCTCCATCGAGCCATATGACTTTCGTTGAGGAATCCTTAACAAGTAGAATATATCCTCCAGCGATTCCTACTATCCAACACACGATAACTCCATTAGCAGCACACAACTATTAAAAAAATGCTCAAAATCTTAGTAACTTCACATTCACTTTTACACCCAAATATACTGAATGACAAAATATTCCTATATTTTTGAAGACTCGCTCTAGAAAAGAGGATGAAGTTCAAAAAAATTCCCTGTACTTAAAATTTCAGCCTGGTTTCCTCTGTTCCCAGACCAAACTCTTCTACGAGAACTAGGAGCATTGGCAGATCGTGGTGCATTACAAACCTGCATTTTTCTCATAGATGGATTTACAACAGGGATAGCCCTTCTGAGAGCAACTTCTGCTGATCGGGGGACTTTTGTATCCGGTGAGTAAAGCACGGCCTCTGCTGGTGGCACACTCCAGCTTCCTGGAAAGTTTTCAGGAAATGGTGAGAGAGCTTGTGCTAGCGTAAGCGTTGCTGCCAAAGCTGATCCCAAGACTTTAGTGCTCCAAGGCCGCGGAGATGCCGTTGATGAGGAAGACACTGATGATGAGGCAAGAACATCCTGCACACAAAGATGTGTGTGTTGTCAGCTTTCAGCTTCAACAGAGACATTGTAATGCTTGAGACATTCCTACAATCTTCCGATCAGGTTTATCATCTAATTTCGTACCCTCCCCTGTGAATTAAATAAGACGAAATTACAAGTTAGACTTTGGACAAAAAAATCTGACAAGAGATTTCTTCGTGAAATGTGTGTAATTTGAATGTACAGCGGCAGCTCTGAGTGACCGAATTAGCAACTTGATGCTTCTTCAGTGTTGGCAACGAACAACCATACAAATTGGACGGAAAGGAAATAATGCTTCATGACATATGCAGAGAATCAATTGTAATGCAACAGTAGAGCAAAAATTGTTAGTCTTGTAGACTTCATTTAAAACGTAGAAGTTTTAAAATCTACAAATTCTTTTCCTCAATTTCCAAAGAGTACTCGTCCAGTTTTTTCCAATTTGAACAATCACAATTGACAGCCTCAACAGAATGAAGGTCCACGCATTGTGGTTTTCATGTTCTTCACCATGAGAACAACGTTCGATCGAGAGTTAAGATTAGTGGATGCTCTCATGATGAATTTCACTGGGAAAGGGTGTAAAGGGAACCTGGGACGCAGGTACAGAGCCTTCAGCTGCATTTGTCATATTTTCTTCAACTGAAGCTGATATACATGACCGAGCTGCAAACGATGTGCGACTCCTCCTGGAGCTGAACTTACGGACAGAAGCTGTGTAATTGGCAGACAATTCGCCATTGACATCGACGTTGCACCTGGGAACGGAGGTCGGCACGATTGTGGCGACTGACATAAGCATTGACATTGCAGCCAGTCTGCACGCTCGCGAATGTCAACCGCAGTTTTCAACTAATCCAGAGAACAAATTCACTGCTCTCAGAGCCAAATTCCTACATTCCACATGGAACGAAAGAAGTACAATGCAGAAGTTTCAGACTCCAACAGTAAACTGCCTATACGAGAGGAAGATTGTGTGAGGATATCAAGTTGGCACGCACAGCTGTAAGCTTCCTACAGCTTCAGCGACGGCGACACTTGCCAATCCTCTCAAGCTCTGTTGCTTAACTGGATCCAAACTCAGAGGCCAACTGATCGGGAGGAGTCTACGGAGCAGCTCGAATTTTCTGGATGTCTGTTTGGTGGTCCCGGTGGGAGTGAGCTGCGCTGTTCTAATGTGACCAGAAGGGCAAGCTCCGTGACACCGGAACAAAAGTCAGAGGCGGATGTAGTGGGCCGACATTAGATAAGGTGCTGAGTCCAGTCGAGAGCGAGAGAGCCTGGATAAGGTAGCTCTATGTGGCACTTCCTCTCGGCCTTCGTGTCCTTCCCTGGCGGAAGATTTTCCCCTCCGTTTCCTCATCATCATGCTCGTGCTTCAGCTTCTCGTCTCTCTCGTTTCCTCAGATTCCTCGGACTAGTAGATTTCACGTGTCTGTACACTACATAACATGACCCATGAATTTCGAGTGAATTCGCAGGCTATCCAATTTTATTTATGTGGTACAAAGAAGAATGTTTAAATTTGAGATTGAAACTCATAACCACGCTCCCCTTCCAAATCGGTCCGCTCTTGGAACAATATTACTTTCAACCCCCTCAGCATCTGTAGCTGGTACCACTTCAAACTCACTTGTCATGTTTTGAATCGATATTCCCATTTCATATTCAAAATATTGAGTAAAGATGAAGACTCCTTGGAAAATATCTTTGTCTTTTTCTCATTGACAAAAATAAGCAACAATAGAATAAAGTCGATATTAAAATACTCTTGCATTCATGTTTCATACTATATAATGTTATCAATATAATAGTTAAGGATATTTCAGATTCTACATGACTGAATTTAGATGTTTTATTTGCTCCCACTTAAAAAATCTATCCAATTTCATAGCAATTTCTTCGTAACTCACTCAAAAAGTGTATGTAAATTCAAACATCACACACATTACAAAAAAGTATGTGCTTCACCTTTGGGTCTACTTTCACGAGAAATCAAACACACAAACGTATGAGAGAGATTCATGATTTACATACCCTAGTGCCAACCTATAGTTTCTAAGTTTGGTTACTTTGAGTTAATTGGGAAATGAAATTAATCCCAACAATCTTATACTTCATTCATGTTGAGTAAACAATCATACAATAACTACGCAAAATATAGAAAGAAAATTAACACAAGGTTATTCTTTATACCTAGAGTAAATTAGAATTAAATCGTAACCATAACAAGATAAATTAATAATATAAACAAGCAACTAAAAATATTGCTAACAAACTCTACCTTTGCTCCCTATGCAAAAGCTGCATAGTAATATATTGTAGCATAAAATACTTCAAAGAAAAAACTTTGATCAATGCATCAACTTGATTGAATTTATTGTCTATTTTGACTAGTTCAATTCTTTTATCAAAAATTATTTGTCTCATAAAATGATATATGATGTCGATATACTTCACTTTGCTGTCCATTATTTGATTAATAACCATGTGTGAAACCCTCTGGCTAGCACAATGAAAATTAACAACACACTGTTTCAATCCCATCAACTATCATTATTGTGTACTTTTTTATTGCTAGTTGACATTGCTCCTGAACTTTCAAGTGATGCATGGACTTGTTCATCACAACTAATGTCCTATGCACTATGTTATCATTCTTCGATCTCATTTTTTCTATTTGCATCCAAAAAATTTTTGATTTTTTAACACAAAGATTTTTTTGATTTATTCTAACGTGAAGTTTAGTTCATCTTGATTCACATTTAAATTTCCAGTGTTCAACTTGCAGTTCTGCACCATTGTTTACTAACCAATGAAAATTATTTTTTAACAACTCTATATACTCACTATATATCAATCCTTCATATTGCAAACTAGTTCATGTTTCATGTTGTTGAATAATGTATACTCCATGTGATCGTTGCATATAAAAGACTTGCATTGATATTTGCACATGTTTATTTTCATAATTCACAAACAATCACATGAAATCAACATAAAATAACAATCTCAAATGACATATTTATTTCTGATTTTGGACATATTATCTGAGTGAAATTTGGCTTTGAGATATCCAGAAACATCACATGAATATAACATGAATAAAACATCATTATTCATGATAAAAAAACAAGTAATATGTAATCATAGTGATTTATATATTAAAAGCAAAATCAATGAATACAACAATCAAATCCTATTAATTTTCACTTGAACATATTTTATTTCATATTCTGATGCCCATACATTGGAGATAACAACTTTCCTTTTTTTTTCAATTGATCACCAATCGTATTGAATTAATACTAATGTTATAACACAAAAAAAATTCAACATGTTTCAAAGAGCATGTCTAATAATCTATCCAAATGATTAGCTCTCAAACCACCTATCATTTTGTGAATTATTTTTTTCATGGTTATATGACGAATTTCTGTTACTTCATTTGTCATTTGATTTGCTTATCAAAATCTTGACAAATCATCTACCATCTAGTTATAAAGAATAACATACAAAATATATGTTAAATATTATAATTTAAAACAAAAAATATATAACTTGGAAATTTATAAAATAACATAGACATAAACACAATAGCATTATGAAATCTATTACATTGATATATTTTTGTAAGAAGTAATTCATACATAGTTTGTGAAAAGATATAGTTTGAAATTGCAACTAACATTTTCACATCAAAATTTCACTAATAACGTACTTTATTTTTTTCAAAAGTATAAAATTTTTTTAATATAAGTTTTTGGTTTTTCACATATCAAATCAAATTTTACTTTCATGCCTTGCAAACATATAAACACATGTTTTAGATTTCAATATGCAAATACTAATAAAAAATATCTATGTAGTTTCTATACATAACAATCATCAATAGGGAGTAAATATATTGAAATTTTCTTTATACATAAATCTGCACATAAAAATTATTATTAATCTAAAATTATATTTGAATATAAAATAAACAAAAAATGATTGGAACTCTTGGAAATATAGATTTTAATGAAGTCATATTGAGAAGCACACTCAATTATAAAACAACTTAGTGTCCAATCAAGCTCAAATTCCAATGATGCAACTAATTTTTTTTAAAAAAATCCACTATTATATGTGTAATTTATTTTTGTTGAATGCTCGGAGCAACATGCAGTACCATTTGATGAAGATAAAATGCAATCAAAAGTAAAAAAATTGAAATTTCATAATAATAAGACATAACATATCATCAATTATTAGCAGATAAATAAAATGTGCAATATGTATAAATGCATGAACAAGAAAGATTAAAAAATAAATTTTAACTACAGAGTGTCATATCAAAAAAATCAATAACTCAAGATACAACTAAATCAAAACTTATATCATATTTGGTTATTGCAAATGTGCTATCTCACGCAAGAAGCTTATCCTGAAAATAATGAATCCTCATATTTAATTGTTAATTGGATTGAAGAATAAACAAAAAATCTTGAGATGTATCTGCAGATTTATATATTGTTGATGTAGAAGAAAAAATGAGGTTGCGCATTCATCCAAATCTGGACATAACATTGGTCGTTATCAATGAATTTATATTCTTTTCTTCCCACATTTGCTTGTATGTTATGTAGATCTTTGAGATGAATCATATCATATCCACAATTACAAAAGAACTCAGGCGGAACATAGAGCAATTGTTCACATAGAATAGTACTATTGCGCATTTTTTTTTATATGCACTTAAAGCAATTCATTCAATTATTAAAAAATTATTCAATTCAGCTTATTAGGAATTATAGATTGTACTTTCAATAATCCTATTACGTTTCCACGATACATTACAACAACTACATAGCATATGCACACTTAGTACTCCAAGAAACAATTTCATGTTCTGCCATACTTCCTTGACACCTCTAGCTTTTATTATTACAATGACTTCTGCAATGAACATGTAAAAATCAAATTAATATCAATATCAATATATATGAAATAACGATTGCATAAATATAAAATATAGATCAAAAAATTCATTCTGTTATAACATTCAAACAAAATACATTTATCTTTGTATGTAATATATGATTGAAATATGAGGTTCATTTTTGTAATATGTAACAATAAAACTACAAACACATTCTTTTTAGAAGATCATTGACATTTTTCTTTCTTCATTGTGGTCTACCGCCGTCATCTATACCAAAAATTGTGTAGATGATTTTTTTGGATTGTGTGTAGAATCTGAGAAAGATTATTAAATGATCTAAAAGCACACCAGTAAATTTCAGTTTTGTATCAAGCAATTTTGAAGCCCGATTTGTCATTGGTTTGTCTATTCAAAATATTTTTTCAAAATTATTAATCCTTCTTACTTCATCATTTACAAAATCGTCTATACTCTTATTGAAAATACGAGCTATCTCTACAAGAAAGTTCTCAAGTACATTCTAAATCATTTGCATGGATATGACTACAAGAGTTGATTGAACAAAAATTGTACTGGTTATTGCGTATATTTATCTATAAATAATATATCAAATGCACGTTAGATTTTATTGACAAACAATAAAAATCATCTTGACAATCAAAACATAAACAAATAAAAATATCAAAAATCTTTACTACAAATTGAATCCTATGATTATGAGAACAAAATATTTTTATTATGAAAATTGTAGACTTAGATTTTTGATAAACAGCAAAGTGACTAATCAAAACTGGAAAATTTAAAAAAAAAAAATTAGAGAATCAATCCTGAAATCCAATATATAGTGGATCCGCAAACGATTCAGTTTTTTGCTCGCTGATGTATGCTATTCGCACTCGTTTACTATTGCTATAAGACTAAAGCATCCTAGTACTTTAAAATCTAATTTTCAAATTCAAACTCGAATTCAAATTTCAATTTGAATTTCATTCCAATTGATGTACCTTATGATCAACCATAAACCGCATTATTTATATTGTATAGTTTTCTAGTGTTTAATGCATACTTAGCAAATAATCTATCTTATAGAACTTAGCATCTAAGTGAAAATGTCGACTTTGAGGTTTGATATTGATCTTGCATCAGACTCTACATTTTTTAATGTATTATAATGTAAATTGTTGGATACGTTAAGGTTTATGTTGGTTATAAACTGATTTTCAAGAATTTTGGCACTTCATATGTGATCTAGCATTATATACGCGATTGCAAGATCATTGATGATATTATTTACCTTGAGCTAATGGATTCCAGCATGAGAAAGTTTGTTTCTGAGCTATACAATTCAAGTTCAAAATGAGAGAAAAAAAAGATGGGAGAGCTTAAAAAGCTCAAGATTTTTCTTACTCTTGAGCTTTTTTGATGATGTAATGTTAGATCATTTATGTTGTTTATAAATCAAGAATGAAAATTAGAAAAAAAACCAAATTATATATGATTTTGAAATTTCTATTTAAAAAATCAAATCTAATTTAAAGAAATTCAAAAAGTTTTCATTTTCATTTTCAATCTTTATGATTGGTTGCTAGATGTCAAAAAAATTTGTACATTCTATAGTGTACATCATTGTGATTGTATAATGGCAAGTACATAAACAAGTTCCCATGTAATATAACATACATGATTACATATATCAATAAAAGCATATTTTACAATTAAATACGTTTTAGAATCAAGTCAAAGAGATTGTTTAACTTCAATCAATCAACATATGATAAAAAAAAAGACTAACAAAAAGTCATTATAGAGTCTTTGAAGTCTGAAAAATGTTTTTTTATCATATTTTTTCTTACATGTTAGAAATATGAGCAGATCAGATGTGTGAACAAGTTGAAAACTAGACAAATTATAAGACTTAATTGATGTTCCAATTTTAAAAAATTATGATGTAAATTAAAGATTTTGATGCAAAACATATGTGCATTCATCTAATTAAAATACTTCAGCTTACAAAAAAAAGTTCAATAAACCATTATATTATATGTTGGTTTAGGTTCTTGCTATCCTAATCTAATTTGTAATAAATACTATTTTGTTAACTTAAAAATGCTAAATAATGCAATTAGAATGATCTGTTTAATAATTTTACATATGATTTTCTGAAAAATAATGATGTTAAATTTTATCTAGGTGAAATAGACATATGATTTAGAAAATTTGAAACATAAATGTTAAACATGGAGTTAATATTTATCATAAATATTCATTAATGTGATTAATATTTTAATTTAGTTTAGATTATTTTTTATTTAAATTAAAGAAATCATTGTGAGCTTTGAGATACGTTTTTGAAGATGAATGATATATGTGTGTATGAAAAAATTAAAAAATAAAAATTATTTATTTATTTATTTGTTTCATATTTCATAGTATATTCATCTTGTTTGAGCTATAATTTCACTTTTAGCAATATATTGAAAAGCAATATAATCCAATTTATATAATTTCAAAATATCAAATTAAAATTATATTTCAATAGAAAAATAAAACACAGTATTAATTACTGAAATTAAATTGAAATAATTATTTTTATTTGAAATTTTTTTTCATAGATTAAATCAAAGAATTTTTTTGTTTCAATTGAAGATACTTCAATAATAATTCATGAAAAAGTGTTTTTGACAGCATAATGCATAAAGAAGAAGGATCTTAATCATCGTCACTGAAAACATTTTGTTTGAGATAATCAAATGATATATCTGAGTCATCCTTATTACAATGAAATTTGTGTAAGTTTTTTTACTTTGCATTATCAGTTATTTTACATTATTTTCATAAATTTGAAAATTTTAGAATAATTTTATCATCATGTAAAATTTAAACATCAAAATAATGATAGTTTGAAAAGCAATGGCTGACATTTATAGTCAGGATATGTGTATTGGGTGGAATAGTCAATCGATACCTGTTAAACTTTTGATTTCTCAAGTACTTAAACTGAAGTATACTTGTGAAGATGAAGTTAGAATATGGATATTGTAAATTTCCTACTGTATAATGAAAACTTGTTGGACTGTATTTATTATTTTCCTTTCTACACGTGCTGATATCTAATCCTCATCGAGAACATGTCCCGATATAAGCGGTAGTGATGGAACTTGTACTTACTGCGTTTATCTGTCTCTTTTCTGTCGATGGATGAGGATGTTTAATAATCTCGCTTTTTTTCAGGACATGCATCTAGTAAACAGCGGGGAATGAAGAAGATAAATAAATGGTGGGGAAAAATGACGTGGGTTGCGAGGGGCGGAGACGCAGCTGAGGTGGATGGATACGAAGGACATGAGTCACGTAACTCGTGAGCTGACTTGTCCCGACTCGGACTCTTTCTGGCGGCAGCCTTGCCAAGAACGACAGGACGTCGAAGCGCATCTGTTCACGTACGAGCTCTCTCTCGTCTTCCCTCCCTCCCCTTCAAGAACTAAACGCTTTGTTGTTCTCGGCACGCATTCGAATCTGACAGAGCACTCCACCTCCTCCTCTCATCTCTTCTCTTCTCCTCCCTTTCCTTCTCCTCGCTACACTTCGGTGGCCAATCGACCCCCCTGCGCACCGACTGAGCGGAAGGTTGCAGCTTATTTTGCAGGAATGGAGCTTTGACAGACTCACGAAGCTTGATCATTTCTCGAAGGGGATGCAGGAATGGCGACATGCCACAGATCAGTCGTTGTCAGATTCTGGGCATCTCTCTACGTTTTCCTCGTTGCTTCGATGGTTGGGGCGTTGAATGTGTCTTACGATCAGCGGGCTTTTGTGCTCAATGGGCAGCGCCGATTGCTCATCTCTGCAGGAATTCACTATCCTCGTGCTACCCCAGAGGTGAATTTAATCTTCCTTATGAACGTCCACGTATCTCCTCGTTGACACTCATGCTGAAATAATCGTCAAATTGTATCTGATGAACGATCGATTCTCGAGAATTACAACCTGTGATACGTAGTAATTTTTCTTACGTCGAAGCGAAACATACGAAACAAATGGAAACATTCTGAGCAATTCGTCTTTTAAAAGCTGGAAAGTAAACCGACGACGGCTGATTCGCAAGGAAAATGCCGCTGGATTTTAAAACTCTGAAGTAGAATATTTACCAAAGTATGAGCAATGTCAGTCTGCTAGTTTGCCAACCATTGCCAAGTAATCCGATCCTGCAGACGGGGGTCGATCGAGGTCCAGTGGTGTAATGTTTTTCAGGACTAAATGTACTGGAGCAAAGTAGTAACGTTTAGTATACAAACAAGTATACAATAAGTCTGGAAGGCAGTGTGGCGAAACTAAAAATTTCGAAGAAACAGCTGTTGATTTCATGAGAAGAATGCGAGCATCACTTGAGGATCTACGGATGGTGCTGAACCGATATTTAGATACAATTAGACATTGATCCGCTTAAAAAGTTTTCTGCAAAGTATATTACTGCCGGTTCCTATCTTAGTATGCTCTTTGTGCGTGATGGGAGAGTCGCAAGGGAAGAGGAAATGTAGTCCTAAATCATATGCTGTCATGACAGATGTGGCCGGAATTGATAGCTACGGCAAAAAGAGGAGGTGCAAACGTTATACAAACGTATGTCTTCTGGAGTGGTCACGAGCCTCGGAAGGGTGAGGTATGTAACGTCACATGACATGAAATTTCCAGCTTTGAGTAACTTGCTTAAAAGTGTGCACACTCGCTGTTAAATTCAATTCACTTTCTTTTCTTGCGGAACACCTCTTCTATTGGGAAAACTGAAGTTATGCTTTACAAGAAATCATTGTTTCAGGTTACCCATGTAGGCATTTCAAAAAAAAGGTCACCAATTTAAGTTGAGGTTATTCTCTCCCATATCGTTACATGGAGGGCGTTTCTTGCAGTACAACTTTGAAGGAAGATATGATCTTCCCAAGTTTGTGGAATTGGTCGGAGAAGCTGGAATGTATCTCAATTTGCGCATCGGACCCTACGTGTGTGCAGAGTGGAATTTCGGGTGCCTTTTTTCTCTCTGCCCAATTTTTTCCAGTTGTGTAGCGCAGCCATGAGCCAGACGCTGTAACAAGTGTGAAATAGTTGTTTCCTATAATCTTTCTCATTTAGCGAAGGTTGAGCAAGATTGAAGCCACGTGAGTTCACTCGTTCTATTCAGTCTTTGACCACAGTACTTGACCACGGAGACCTGAAAGGTGGGTAGCATATTAACTTTTAAATGTGGATTCAGCAGACCTATTGATCCCTTGTGCTTGAGCTGCAGGGGATTTCCAGTGTGGCTCCGTGATATTCCAGGCATTGAGTTTCGGACGGACAATAAGCAGTTCAAGGTTCGCAAAGCTTTTGATGTTGCAGCTAAATTTCGTGAACAGCTTTGCAAGAAACATGGTCATTTTTCGAAGTCAATATTGAAAAATTATGTTTACACCAGAAGTGAAGTAACCGGCTTCTGAGACATCAAATTTTTTTTTTGCTGGGGCTTGTCCTGCTGACTCTAGGACGAGATGGAGACCTTCACTAAATTCATCGTGGAGAAGATGAGAGCACGAGCTCTTTTTGCTCAGCAAGGGGGTCCCATCATAATGGCGCAGGTAGAAGCCTTTCTAACTTACTCAAAACGCATCTTTCATCTGTCTTTCATTTTTCATCCTTCAAGAGCGAAGATGATTATCAATCAGGTTATTATTTGAGAGTGACGTGACTTTAACATGGTCTCAGATCGAGAACGAGTATGGAAATATCGAGTGGGAGTACGGGCAACCAGGTAAACAGTATGTCAAATGGGCTGCAAACATGGCAGAGGGACTTGACGCAGGAGTACCATGGATCATGTGCCAGCAAGGGGATGCTCCACTAAACGTGGTAAGTGTGCACCGAACAAGCTTTTAACATGAGAAATGTAGTGTTTAAGCTGCACAATGATAAAGGAATATCTTGTGTGAGGATCTTCCTTCATATTTGTGCTGTGTAACTCTAGGTTTCTCGCTTTTAATTGATGAACAATTTGTAGCTGAAACGGCTGGAAATGGTCTGTACAATCATCTATGCTAGTTTTGATACAAAGTTCCACCTAATTGTCCTCCGGTCATCATCATGCCATAAACTCATCCTACCTTTGCTATCTGCACTGTCAATGGTGGAGTAAAAAGCATGCAATTGTACTTTGCCGCGATGGTCTGTAACTTTTATCAACAAGAACTTACGGAGCTTACGGAACCTTCGTAACAAATGCGTATCGGAGAGTAAGTTTAAGGTTTTAGATTTTCCGTATCGGATACTTCAAAATATGAAAGTAATAATGCTCAATAAGCTGCCATAGGACGGATTTAGGTCATGGAGATTGAACCGGGTTATTTAATCGATATTTTTATCCTCATGGATATACTGGTTGAACTTAGTGTCGTCTGAGTTTTTTATTTGAGGTAATTTTCCATACTGTTTCAAAATAGTGCTCGGGACTTTGCAGATCAACACATGCAACGGTTATTACTGTGATGGTTTTACACCCAATGCACCTGGTCGGCCGACTATGTGGACAGAGGATTGGAATGGCTGGTACGTTTCAAGCTCTACTGCGTGTTTCTTGTGCTGTCCGATGCTGTTTTCCAGGAGTCCTAGTTGAGCTTCCGGATCTAGAGATTTGCTAAATCCATGTGGTAGTTTTCAAGTGACCCCCAGTATCTTCATCTTCTTGGAGCTAAAATGTATGCATGCTGGCCCTTTGAACAGGTACCAGCTTTGGGGAGGCCTTGTGCCACATAGGCCTGTCCAAGATAATGCCTTCGCCGTGGCCCGATTTTATCAAAGAGGAGGCACTTTCCAGAACTACTACATGGTATTGACAAAGGCTTCGTCACAGGAATTACACACAGATTTGTGTGAAAGAGAGGACGCAGTTATTTGAAATTGAATTCTTAGTCCACGGCCCTACAAATAGTAGTCAAAATCATTCCAAAAATCTGCGTGGCCTTTTGAATCTTTCTCCATACACTGAAGTAGTCTTCTCCAGACTTTGATCTAGTTGAGAAGAGGACAGTCATGCCTTATCATAGTATTGACTGGAGTAAGCTTCAACGTCTCGAAACGTGCTCGAAGTGAGTTTTATGTTCAGTAATATGTGTTGGAGTCCCTGTTTCCTAAGACCGCAGCTTGCTTAGCACGCTCTAGAGGGGAGATTTGACTGTTCGTTTTATTCAAGATATTGCTTCTTTCCGCATGTGATACTATCTATGGGGATTGCAGTATTTTGGAGGCACAAACTTTGAGCGGACATCAGGTGGTCCATTCATTACTACAAGCTATGACTACGATGCCCCCATTGACGAATATGGCAAGTACCGAAACCTGCTGCGATTTTTTACTCAAATCTCCATTATCTTTCATTGAACAGGAGTTGAAAAACAGAAAGATTATGTATCAAGTCGTTAAGGAATATATGCTGCATGACATCTTACGGATGAAGTTGTATAAACAATGGTCAACCTTCTCACCTGCAGTTCCATCAGCTCAATTTTGAAAGCCAACTCTTTTGATCTTCATACCATATTTCCAGGGCTTGTCAGGCAACCAAAGTGGGGACATCTCAAGGATTTACATGAAGTTTTGATGCGGTGTGAATCAGCCCTGATGTCCGTCGATGATGAACCTGAGTACATTTCCCTGGGTCGTAATCTAGAGGTTCTCTATCCTTTGCATGTTCCTCCTCCTCACTCGGTTGACATTTGGGATATATGTGGTGCAGCCATCTAGTATCCTCTACTTATGCTAGTGGGGTTCTCGAATGTAATTCATGAGAACTGAGTAACGTAGAGTTTTGAATTCTGAAGAGACATATTTTAGCTCCAGACACTCTGGGATGGCCATAGAATGTGATTCCGGAAAGTAAACAGGGTATTTATTTTTTCTGGAAGTTGACCTTAAGTTATAAGACGTAATCTGTAGGAGCTTGAAGGCATTAGTATTGTTTCTAGGGTACCAGCTATATCCTCTGTGACATACAAACTAGATACCAAGGTCAAGGGTAGCTCATGGAGTTTTCAATTGTTTCGTTACGAGTCGGTCAAATACTGCGTGTGGAATCCAGCCTGGGACTCAAACATTGAAAATCATTCGTGCAGGCACACGTATATACAACAGCTGCTCATCCGGAGATCTGTGCTGCCTTTCTCGCCAATATTGACAGCAGTTCGAGTGCCGTTGTCGAGTTCAGAGGCACCAAATATGAACTGCCAGCTTGGTCAGTCAGCATTCTTCCAGATTGCAAGACAGTCGCGTATAATACTGCCAAGGTTCTCAAATCTATCTCTCAGTTTTTATGTTTTATCTCTGTATTAGTTCTTCATCTGAGATCTTTCGAAGGCCGTGCTTCACAATCAAGTATAATGTAATGTTGTTTTCGAAGTAAAAAGGCTAAAATCATGGAATGTGGTTCACTTTTTATACACCTTATTCAAATCAATTTGAAGTTTAAATCGAGATTGGTAATATCTGATATTACATTCATTTCTCCTTAGGTTCCTCTCCATAGTCAATCTTTTGATTCACTTTCCAGCTTTCTAAACCTAAGCTTTTGATACTCGGTCATTGTTTTGTCTCAGATCCACGCTCAAACATCACTGATGACTATGAAGCGGAATAACTTAAAGACGCGGAATCCGAAACCTGCAGATGTAGATACTCTAATCGAATCCCAGGTTGCTACCATTGAGCTAGACTGGGAGAAACAAGAAGAGCCTATAGGGATTCGAGGTGGAAACACCATAACAGCGCACAATCTCCTCGAGCAGATCAATACAACCAAAGATTCTAGTGATTACTTGTGGTACACAACAAGGTACAACCATGTGAAAATCTGTAACCTTCGAAAGAAGTTTGATCGAGAGGAACAGAAGACTTTTGCTATTGTAACGACTAGTGGGATCTGGTTTATTTACAAGTAAAGTATCAGTGTTGAAGTGTGTATATGGCACATGCTGGAATTGGGCAGGTTCCAAGTGTCCAAGGAAGATATCAAGGAGCTACAAGGTCGAAAGGAGGACGTACGTCTTGTTCTAGAGGATGTGAGGGATGCTCTACACGTATTTGTTAACGGCGAACTCTCTGGTTAGTCTCTGCGTGAGTTGTTTTTATGTTCATTTGAGAGTATACAAGAAATATACCGTTAGGAAGACCAAGAAATGACTTGTATTTTGCATGCCTTTTTCGACTGCAGGTAGTTTTTCTGGATCGTGGTTCAGCTTAAATCACAGCATCAAATTGAAGGAAGGCGTTAATGAAATTGCTCTACTATGCATGACAATGGGTATACAGGTACTCAGTTACCTCTATAAATTTTTGCTCCTAGGCAATGCCTGAGTGACTTTGATTCAGTAAGTCTGACATATGTCTTCTTGACGTTTTTATTGCATGTAGTCAAGACTAAAGTTTCTATTTTTCGCAATTCAACCAACGACCTCCATTCTGAGTTCAGTCTGAAGTGGACCCTCGCAAACTGATTCGTCGTTTGAATCCCGGTTTTAAAAAATCGATAAGCAGATTTATGTTAGATTCCATTTTCTGTTATCTCGAGTTAGATGATCTGACTCAATACGCGACCAACGCGATATCAATCTATCCTAATTAAACCTTTTTTCCGTATCACGAGCACGTCGAGATCGTCAATTGTATTCAGTATTGAGAAATAGGGGAGGTTGTTTGCACACGTGAAGTTAATTTTCTGTCGTCTATGTTGCAATTAGAATTACGGAGCATTTCTGGAGAAAGATGGTGCAGGTATTAAGGGAAAGGTACAAGTGACAGGGCTCGGTTCTGGAGTTCTCGATCTCACCACATCTGAATGGGTGTACCAGGTTGTTACAAATCTGGACCTTTGACTGCTTGTAGGCAGAGAATGTATGAGTCATTTTCTTATCTTTTGCTGTTGTATATCTAGTCCTAGAGTTGCCCACTGGTGTTATTGCATACGGCTGCTAACCACTTTCTAGTAACTAAAAGCTATAGGCTCCATTGAAACTTCAAAGGCGAGTGGTCGACACGAAGATGATTGTTCCAACATAGATACTTACTTACTCTTTTTGATACAGATGGAAAACTGTACTCATTTGTAAGTGCTTGTTATAGCCTTCAGACTGTAAATACAATTCTGAGTTTTCTGAAAACTGGGATTTAACTCAGCTAAGACTTCTATCTGATATGTGGCCTTTCTGTCTTCTCCAGGTGGGTCTGAAAGGAGAAGACCTTCAGTTTTTCTTTGATTCAGGTCCTCAGAAAGGCTCATGGGTTCCGGCAACCGGAGGCCCTTCCGATAAACCTCTGGTTTGGTACAAGGTACGAATATGTAGCTCTGGCTGCCGTTCATGTCTACTATAGCCTTCGTGGACGATTTTTTTCAGACTCTTGGAGGGAGCATAATCTGGCATTGCAGCAGTTGGAAGGTTCCTGTTGTGTTCTCGTACGAAGAAAAGCTGTGCAGAAAGAACCAATGTTTGTTCTACAAGTAAAAGTCATAAGTTTTCATTTGATGGCCATTAACATCAGGCCATTCAAGGCTTACAGCGATTAAGCTTCCATGAGGGTTCGTACCGTTACTTTTGGGTCCTTCTCATTGCATGCTCGGTTGTGTTGCAGACCAAATTCAGTACCCCGGATGGAGAAGAGCCTGTGGCCTTGGATTTGGCTAGTATGGGAAAAGGTCAGGTTTGGGTCAATGGGCACCATCTCGGCAGATACTGGCCCCTTCTTGCCCCGCAAGAAGGTTGCAGTGGTTGTGATTTCCGTGGTCCTTATAATGCCCATAAATGTGTTACTGGCTGTGGAGAACCCTCTCAACGCTGGCAAGTTTTTCTTTGTCATTTTTAGATTCACCTTGATCTTACCGTTTCAACATATCAACAGCATCAATGTGAGAAACAGTTGCATGTCTAAGCTTGTCTAGAAAGCTTCAGAGGGTTGTATCCAAACAGCACAGCTGATACTTTCTTCTGGTTCCAAATCCTCGGGCTCCAGGTATCACGTCCCTCGGGCATGGCTGCAGGCGGACGAAAATACTCTGGTACTGTTTGAGGAAGTAGGAGGAAATCCTTCTTTAATATCCGTTGCGACCCGCTCTCCGGGTACAGTATGTGCTCATGTTTCAGACTCTCATCCGCCTCTTGTGGACAAATGGGCTACTTCGAGTAGCTCCTTTGATGCTCAGTCACAGAGGGCACTGGTTCCACATGTACGACTTGAATGTGCTGTTCATCAGCAAATATCTCATATTGTCTTCGCCAGCTTTGGAAGCTCATCTGGGACCTGTGGCAGCTACTCTGAAGGAGATTGTCATGCTTCGAGTTCTCGTGCTGTGGTAGAAAAGGTGAGCTTCATTTGCCTCAAAGTCACGTCATCTCATTTGATTTGCTTCCTAATACACGCAGTATTTTATGGGTATTGTGTGTCTTGTGAGTAACTAACATTGGTACTGTTTAACAGGCCTGCTTGGGCAAAACATTCTGCTCACTCGATGTATCACCAGCAGAGTTTGGAGAGGACCCATGCCCTCTATTGGCTAAAACGTTAACAGTCCAGGCCCTGTGCAGAGGTCCCAGCGAGTTGACGAATGAGAATCTCAGTGATGACGATATTGCTGTACCTCTGGGTATGTATGACCGTAAATGGCAACGCTATGAGGTTATAAACCAGAGAACGCAACAGACTCAAAGTTTCCTGTCAGACATTTGACCTTTCACGTGCTCGATAAAACTGAGGTCTTGTTCTCGAGACTGTCAGCTGATCAAGTTTAGAGCACTACTAGGTTTCCCCTTTCCTTTCATCCGTTAAATAGGACGAATTAGTCTTAAGCTGGGAGGTTTGATTGAAGATGAAGCAACGGAGCCCACGGTAGAAGCATTTTGCTTCGTGGTATATCTTCAGCCTTTATTTGATTAGTGAGGATCTTCGAAATGCTTCTAGAGACTCGTTTGTATATTATTTGGTCAAAAATATAACAGTCGGATTCAAGATCATACTTTCACAGAGGGCCATATTTTGAGTAGAAGTATTACAAAGAAAGCCTGTAGGTTGAACTACGATCGAAAATATGACCACTTGAGTGATAAACTTGCATTTCCGTCATTCGATACTAAGAACAATAGAGCCAGTCGATGCTTCCCTGTTGCACATGTCCAACTTACCAGTTTTGTACGACCTTTGTATTAGTATCTCGCTAGTTTTGTATTTTTGCCAAATTCAACGACCGAATCCAACGCGTTGAGGACATCGCCACGTGAACCATGTGAACTCGCGCCAATTTCAACTTCCCCTGGCCCGTAGTATTCGGGAGCTTGTTCGAGTAGCCATTTTGACAGCAGGTTATATTGTTCAGACTAAAATTTATTCCGAGTACAATCATCGGCCATTTTCCATAACATAGCCCCACATTTCTTTGGCGATGAAGAAGTGGAAGTCTAGAGAACGGTTACATGTGCATTCTCTTATCGTCCACAACTTAGTGGCAAGGGCTATTTACCATTTCGCTAGAAGTTGTAGAGACAGCAACTCAGCCAGGGACTCCAATTCAAACATCTGCAGTCGACTGTTCTTATTCTAGCTACCCGGTCAGGAATGATCAGTCGTGGCCTGGAGCAAGTTGGCAGCTGGGTGAGAAGGCAGAGACCACTACACACACAAGATAATAGAACACAGTGCAAGTAATTTAGCAATGAGAATAGGAGGACCCCTATTCTCATTGCTCAAGTTTTACAAGGAGTACAACAAAAGGACTAGCTCCAATACCATCGCAATGGCAAATGTTTCCTATTCCACCTGATACAGATATTCCATAAACATCCCATCATGACCAGTCCATACTTTGTGTATATAACTAATGCTCGTTACGTTCAATTAGTATGGGAGAATATCACTCAAACATGTCACTTTTCTACTTATAATTACAAGGCTTGGAAATAAAACGTGACGTTGGAAACCTTGGTTTCTTGTGCGGTACTGTACTTGTTGCCCGTCATTTACTATGGAAAATCACTTACTCAAAAAGAGAGTAAAATAAGTAATCATAACGTACTAAACAATAAACTGGTTTTCTCGAACCAGGTCATATGGCGTGACCTGATTCAACCACATAGTATGCCAGCATTCACTCGTGAGAAATATCTAGGCCTTAAGTAGCACACACCATATCTATAAGGGTCTTATAGATTCATATGTATCATTGGATCATGAGCGAGTGACGAAGATACATATGTGGACCAGTCGAGAGCAAAGCCTTATGTCCATACGATACTTAACTAATGCTCTCATCTCGAGAGGAGATGAGACCAGCATGTGCGCAGCGGAGTTCTATTACGACCACGGCAGCAGTAGCAGGGCAGCCCAGGCGCTCGTTGAGTGGGGCCGCACAGTTCACATCCCATAGAGGGCCCTGAGGTGAGCATTCTCGCTATTCATCGATCAGAGAGTCATTTGCTCGATGAAATATGCCTGCTTGAACTAATGATTCGCTCGAGTCAGGCCGTGATACTACATATTTTGATTTCTGATTTCCAAAGCGAGAGTAATCATCTGTGTTTGGTCAAATCTCTGTTCATTAAGTCTGGTGTGCACTCCAGATAGCTCGAACACCACATTAAAGTTCCTCGACTCCTCGGATGTCGAACCCTTGTTGCTGAACGTTGAATTGTGAAGGTGAATCCCAACCAATTACACAAGGTACCATCGGAAAGGATCTTCGCAACTGGGTGAGTGGAGATCTTGACGATGATTCAAATGAGGAGTATTGCGTGAGCTTCCACGCTCTCTCCACCTCTCGAATCAAAACGAGCAAGCCCCTCGTGACTACCAAAGAGTTTTGATTTGAGAGGTGGAGAGAAATGGGAAAGTTACGGACAGAATCGAGCAAAAGTTCGACATCGGAGGAGAAATTTAGTGTGATCTTCGAGGAGAGCCAGGAAGGTGGTGTAGAGCTTTGCGAGCAAGCTACGCGATTTTCGCACTTGGAGAGCTTGGTTCAGCACTCCACGTGTAAAGTGGCAGTCATCGCCCTACCTGTCCGTCGTCCTGCTGCTGGTACTTGTTTTCATTGAGCGATTGATATCTACCTCATGGCACTTCCTGATTGTGATTTTGTGTCCATCTCAGGGCATTCTCTGCCTTAAAAGTAACTGATAGTGCTCTAAGTCCATCTCTGAGTGTAGATTGTCTTCATCTCGAACCTAATATACCTGTCGTATTTCATTACAATGTGTACAATCTGTTCAACAGATTGTAGGGAAATACGACGTACAATTTTCAATGATTGCCAAAGTTCCATCGGCAATTGTTTATAATTCTAGACAATGGTCAATGGATCAGCGGTAAAGTTGCATCGCTGAACCTGGAGCGGCTTATTATTGGAAGTTCTCAAATTTCTCAACTGGCTGCTGTAATGCATTATAGCATGGCAGGAGGATAGATGTTTCAGCAAGACACATTCCACGACCGATAACAGTAATATTGAAAAAGTCGACGATGATTTGCTGAGCTACTTTTTAGCATTTAAAGATGGTGAGTGTCGGGTCCAAGCGCTTTTGGTTGCTCTTGGTCTCGTCTTGTACCATGCTGAACATTGACCTGTTGAGCAAGAGCAACCACTTCACACATCACTTGTTTACCGTGATGCATTGCAGAGCATGAGCAGTTTCTGATGGTTATGAGATGCGTTCCGTGGAAATGCAGACAAAACCGGAGACAAAAGCCGGAATGTCGGTCAAAAGTGTGTGCAGCAACGCCTGATCGTTACGTAATGGATTGGTGAGCTTTAATGGATTTTATTCCTTTGATAGCCAAAAAACGATGTGGAGCTTAGAAGACCGAATCTTTAGCAATTAAACAATGAAGATCACGAGTTGGCCAAAATCGGCAAATTCAGACACATATATGATGGAGCAAATAAGCTCAGAAACGTCCAAACATGTTAGTTCTATAACTGCAGAGTAAAGTAAACAGTGCACATGTTGTTTACCTTCCACTGCAGTCCCTGAAAGACCGTAGGCCACTCCGACAAGAAACTAGCTGAGCTATAGTATGAATCTTCCAAGAAGGTTGGGATTCGCATAGCTGGAATCCAAGCACCTTCTGCTTGTTTGCAATGTGATTACATGCAATTCCAAAAAGGTCTACTGGCCTCCATGACACCGATATCAATTTCGATATAATATGCTAAGTGTTATTTCAAAAGTTCATGGCCAGCTTGCGATTTTAAAATACCAAAGAATCAGGAGTGAAAATCACATTGCGGAGGATACTACTCTGACCACTTGAAATGTAGAAACGAGGTATATAAGTCCGCTGAAATGTATGTACCATCTTCTTCTAGATCTACGAACTCAAGTTTTTTCTCGTTCCTTTCCTTGGAAGTATAAGACTGGTCTTGGATCCTCGTAGCTAAAGAAGTTTCAGAGTTTCAGACCTCGTTTCCTTCAAAGCTGCACGAATCTACTTTTAGCGAGTTTCACATTGACGTGAATTGCAGATTTTCTTTCTTTGTTTGAAAGCTCAGATGATGGCATTGTGCATGAAGGTAAGTCTGATCGACTCGCGTGATTGGACTGCCTTCGACTGGGTACGAGGTCGAGATCGTCCACTTGTTGACAGGTCCCGGACTGCCTGGGGGAGAGCAGTCGGCATTTTTCTAGCTACAATGGCTTCGACCAGTCCGAGATCGGTCCTCCTCATTGTGCTTGCGGTAGCAGTAGCTGTTTCTGATGCGCAGTTCCAGCTGTCAGAAACGTTCTATGACGCCACATGTCCACAAGCCGCATCCATCGTCCAACAGAAGGTGAATGCGTTTGTGGATACCGATCGAGGCCTCGCAGCAGCCTTGATGCGACTACATTTCCACGATTGCTTCGTCCGGGTACGTCAAATCGTAATGCTAAGAGCAATGCATGCAATCGTATACTTGCTGAACTGTAAGACTGACCAGCAACGCTATAAAGTCCGAGCGAAATTTGTACAACTGATGACGCTCAGGGTTGCGATGGATCCGTCCTTCTCAATTCTACCGAGACGATGCTCTCTGAGAAAGAAGCATTGCTCAAAAGGTTCTCTGAGGGGATTCGAGCAGATTGACGAAATAAAGATAGAGCTGGAGTGCGCATGACCAGGTGTGGTATCTTGTGCGGATATTTTAGCATTGGTCGCCCGAGATGCTACCGCCAAGGTACGACTTCTGGTGATGGACATTTCTAGGAATCTATTATCACTCTTCAAATGGTTTATTAGTTCGTTGAGTTCTCTGAAAGGACAAACTACTTTTGGGAAATTTTCATGGACAATAATGGCCTTTCCAGGTTGGTGGCACTAGCTGGCCCGTGTTTTTGGGCCGTATAGATGGAGGTGCTTCATTCGCAGATGAGGTCAACAGTCGTTTACTTGAACGCACAGACAACTTCACGCAACTCGTCGCCGGGTTCGCCAGAGTTGGACTAGATGCCAGAGACATGATCATACTATCAGGTAAGTGAGCTAATAAGAAATATTAGGAGTCATCATCCTTCAGATAAGAATGTTTTGATTTTCTATTGCACCAAGGATTTGAAATACAGCACAGCTAGAAGACCCCTTGGAGTTTAAAGAGTAGTAATCATATGGAATTCTTTCTGGTTCTTCTTATAGCGTCCTGATTCGCAGAAGCTACGAAAATCCCAAGGCAGTCCACTCCAAGACACAGAATGTCTCTCGACGTCAAAGTTGTAGATTAGTCGAACCAGGGACACAACACCTTAATTATCATTTCGTTGTCCTGACCACATTGGAAATGATGCAGGAGGACACTCGATAGGACAAGTTCACTGTGGCGCATCATGAGCGCCTCTACAACTTCCAGGGACTCAACATCACCGATCCTTCCATGGACTCTGAGTTCGCTGCCATGCTCAAGGTCCAGTGCCCTCCGATCAAGCCCTTCGGATTCACGGCTCTGGACGCCACCAACGGCACCTTCGACTCCGCGAACTACTTGGACCTGCTGGAGTCCGACGTGGCGCTCTTGAGCGACCCTTTGGACGTGGACGATCCATCGGAGGGTAGGGTTGAAACCAAGGCAAAATCTTTGCAGGCATGCCCATCAAAAGTATGCTCGTA